TGGTTTACCCAGGACTTTCTCCCCCACACCCTTGGATCTCCTTTTAAAAAGAAAAAGAATTCAAATAGAACCCAGGCAAATTATTCCACAAAGGCAGTTCTCTGGTAAAACTGGCCCGGCTGTTCTTTGGGCTGGCCCAACTTAATCCCAGCTCAAACAGACGTCTGTGTGTGCTGGCTTAACCAATTATCCATCGGGGGCTCTGGGCCTGCAGTCTCGCCCAGGCGCCAGGGAGAGAGGAACCATTCCTGGCCCAGTTATCTCTAAGACACAAGCCCCAGACACTGTTATGATTGCTGCAGAAATAAGACTGTCCAGCACACTGCCTGGTTTCGATCCATCTGATGAAGCTAATTCTGCCACTCCTGAGTAAACAGGACTGAGAAAGGAGGATTCCCAAGGTTCTGTAGACCCACCATCCCTGAGAGAGGGATGCTGTCCCAGCCTTGTGTGTCCACAGAGGTGAGGAGTGGCTGTTACAAGAATTCATAAGGCTGATATCCCCATGAGAAGACCAGGTCATCTCCTCCAGGATACAATAGAGAACCACAGCTCAGGACAGGACAACACAGATGTCCCATAAGAAACTGGGGAAGAAGGCAGCTGAGGCTTTCCAGATAGGAAGGAGGTGCCTGGTATAGGCTGGGAGCCAGGGGCACCCCTGGGCTTCATGCCAAATCATGGGTTCATGGCCATGCCTGCGAGCATCATTGCACTCAAACAGAAAGGTGGCCACCTCCACACGGGGAGGTTGAGAGAGTGAAGGCTCCTGCCCCACCCTGTGCCCAGAGTTTCCTGCTACTGGGTAGAAATGACAAAAACTGTATTAGGCAGAGATTTATTTGCACAATCTTTTTGGCCCTTAAATATTCACAGGTCACAAAACTGCCTCTGGGCATTAAACCCAGGATTAAGACATCAATTAACTGAGGTCTGATTGCTCCACTGATTAACACAGTAGTGAGACAGGATAAAGTATTTCCAAAATCACTCTCTGCGCATCAAAGTGCCACCGTGCTGAACTAAACCCATTTGAAGGACCTGGAAATTCCATCTCTCCTGGAAGACAAATGTGCACAGCATGGTTCTGTGGGATCCAGGTGGGCAAGAGTTCAATACCACAGGACTCCCCCTGCCCCCTCCCACTCCCAAGCAACAACCATCCCTTCCACATCCCAAGATGGAGCCATACAAAGAATAAAATCTCAGAACAATAGGAGGGACAGAAAAGAAATGGGTCGGGTGGAATTACACCAACCTTTCAGAAGGCTCAATCAATAATTCTCTCAAGGAACTAGAGCCAAGCTCAACCCAGAGCACAGCATACCTGAGACCTGGCCCAGGACAGGCCAGTGTGGATGGGAGGTTCACTCCACACCTAGATTATCTGTCCCCCATCTTGATGTTCCCACATCCTGTCTCCTGCCTTCTGGTTCATGATAACTCATTCTCCCTCTGCCCTGGGAATCCCAATTTCCATTTGACTTTGTCTTCAAATGGAAGGTTAAATGCCTACTTATTAGGAGACAAAGATGAGTTACTCTACTAGAAAACCTTTCATATGTGCACCAAGAATGTAGGTCATCATCTACTTTTCTAACTTGGGACTTGTTACTCAGAATGTAGGGTCCTGGGGCACTTTGCCCCTAAGCCGTTCAAGGCTTACCATCTCTTGTGTTCACAGAAGGCAGGGGAGCAGAAATAGATCTGTTACCCACGGCCTGTTAAATGCATGCAGGACACTTTCACTCAGTGTAATTAACAGTTCTAAAACCGGTGTATGACTCAATTGAACAGTCGCACTTAAAACCCAAGAAGGCACACGGCAATCGCTGATACACTTGCTCTTCTGTGACACTTCCAGAGGTACTTAGCCAGAACCCAAAGCACTGAGCTATTAGACGGTATGAAGGCCTCTCCTTTTATTTCCTACCCTACCTTCAGATCAATTTCATCATCTGCAAAACGGCAAAGTAGAACCACAGCCTAAATTATGGAAGTGAGATGCCTGCTCTTATTAAATTTCAACTTTTGACCTACACATTCAAACTGCAATACCCAGCACAAGAAAAGAAATGATCGGTTATGATCTCATGTTTGTGGGGAAGAGTATGATTATAGAGGAATTTACAGGAAATCAAAAAGGCCCTGCTTGAGAGAATGGAAAACAATAAAACAGTCACACAAAGGAAATGAATGACAACCAAACAAAAATGAGAAAGTGTGCTTCCCCAGGCTGGGAGTCTGCTGTTGTCTTCCAATCAGACAGACTCGGGGAACAACCCAAGCCAGCTTGGAGCTGGGGTACGCATGGGTGCCACGGAAGCTTTGTACACAGCCCCTGTTCTCCAGCCCTGCTACACCCTGGCCTCAGCCCAAAATCCATTCTGCTGACTCCAAGAACCCCATACTTCCAGTATAACCAGGAGTGGACAGGGAGAAAGGCTGGCATTCTGGCAGGTCCTAGCTCTCCTGAGCTGCAAGGGCTGCACAAGATTCTGGAACCAACAGCCTGGACAAGTCCCTAAACTCCCTGTGCCTCAGTTTCCTCATCTGTAGCATGGGAGTAACTAAGAACCTACCTACAACACCAAATGAATCAGGTGGCACGCCCAGTGCTCAGTACAGTCCCTTGCACACAGGGAGCCTCAGCAGTCAGTATTTGGCTCGTGCTCTCATTCAATCCTTGCTCCATCCACCTCCTTTGCAGGTGAGCAGTGGAGGCTGGGTGCATCTCCGCATCCTCACGGTGGGCTAGGTGTTACTACACCTCCACTTTTCAGATGAAATAGTCAAGCCTTGTAAAAAGTTAAGTAAATTCTGAGGGTCACATGCTGGGGCTAGAACTCAGGTGTCTGGGTTGACAGTTTCCCCCAAACAGCTTCCCTCTATAGACAGAGAGGGTGCTGAGAGCATTCAAGACCCAGGAGCCCAGATGCAACATCATGGAAAGCCCATCCTCCCCAGGAAATGAAGGACCTGCCCAGCATTCTACCCCGAACCCTTCCTCATTTACAGGGCAAGGGCGATGTTCGAGGCTGCAACAGATCCACGGAGAGCCGCTGCATCACTGCAGAGGCCAAGGTCTGTGCTATTAAAACACACCCCTGAGGCAGCAAGGACAATGTGACATTTCTGAAATCGTTCTACTGCCATCAAATGCCAAATAAGTCCTTTCCGCTGCTCACTTTAATAAAGTTGAGAGGTATTCTATGAACGCAGATTCCACCTCAGAGCCTTGGAAATGTCACTTGAATTAAAGCAAGCTTGCTCCAAAGTGACAAACTAATGGTGCATCCCTCAGGGAGATGCTGGAGTGCACAATCCTGTCACAGGCTCCAAAGCGCCCCCACTATAAGCAAGGGAAAGTCACAGTGAGGCAACATGGATGCACGTGGGCCTGTTCTGCCAAGTTGGGGGCTACCGAGAGGCCAGGCACTTGTTACTTAATACAGAAAGAAAAGGTGGCCATGAACTTGAAGGTCACAGCCCCCATCCTCACAGTGTGTGGCTATGACAGAAACCAGGCCGGGGCTGCTGAGAGACCTAGGTCAGCCCACCTGGCTTCTCTGGAGGGTCAGTGGACTCAACACATCCCAAGTAAGTCCCAATATGCCACAGCCTCCCCTTCCAGTCATCCCCATTTCAGTGAAGTATGATCCCACTGCTCAGGGCAAAAACCCAGCCACCTTCGCTCCACCATCACAGCTGGTTCCTCCCAGGAGTCCCCGACGCAATTGCTTTTTCTCTCACATCTGTCACCATACCCCTTCCATGGCCACCTGGATCCCTGCAACAACAGCCTCCTCACAGGCAACCTGTTCCCACTCTTCCCCCACAGCTGAGTCTCCAGTCAGAGGCCAGAATTGTTTTTGGAAAGGCAAACCTGATGCCACACTCTCCTGCTTCAACCCTTCAGGGGTTTCCTGTGTTTCCCATTTCTCTCAAGATAGAGTCAAAACTGGCACCAAGACTGGCCTAGTCACAGCTCACCTCTCTGACCACCCTTAGGCTGCACCTCCCTGCCCCCATGGCCACACAAGGTGACTACCCTTTCTCTGGTTCCCTGAGCTAATGTCTCCTTGGCCTGGATCACTCTCTCCCTCTCCAGCAGCCAATTTCTGTTAATCCTTGGGTCACGGTATTGGTCCCAAGCTCCAAGCTTAGGTGAATTACATCTTTCAATTAGATTTGGGAAGATCAGAAGCGAAAAGTCTACATATCTCACCAGTGAGTGACAAGGTGGCAAAGGCCCTGCCTCATCTCTCTTTTACATTTACAGTAAGTCCAGTCACGCAGCAAAGAAAGAATGCCTTGCTGCTATCGCAGAACACCTTGATGGCGTGGGAAGAAAATCAGTGGCAATCAGATTGGAGGGTCACTGCCAGGGCCCACAAAGGCCATGCCCAACCTGAGAGGGCTTGACCTCCAGGCACCTAACAAAAATCAGGTGTGCTACAGCTAAGGGCTGCCTAGGGAAGAAAGAAGCCACACACACACACACACACAAAAAAAAAAAAAAAAAACATGTATAATGGAATGACACATCTGTCAGGACACCTGTGCAACAGGAGGAAAACATGTTTACCTTTCTGGCATGGCATTGTGTGTGACGTTCACTTCTGTACTCTGCACTACCTGCCTTTGCTCTGAGCTGTGTATGTCTGACTTATGATGGAAGAATTCTGAAAACACTGGCATGCCTAAGGGCCTGGGTTCATCCCCAGAAAACAAACACACACACACACACACACCAAAAAATAGAAGAAATGTTAAGTGAAATTTAATTGATATTCAAGTGACTCATGCCCTTTTGAAAAAAACCAACCAACCAACAACAACAACAACAACACCCCAAAAGAAAAAAGAAAAAACAGAAAAGGCTAAAGGAGGAAGTTCTAGGGACCAGCTTTCTGAGTTGGGTAGGTAGAAACACCAGGGTCTCCTGTCTCCTTGAGCTGAGTATAACAAGAAGCCAAGTTTCCCACAACCATACTTACCACTCAACGATCTCTGGGTGAAGAATGGTGTTGTTGACATTGAACCTACAGAAAGAAAATAAACAAAGCCCATTCGGTCAGTAGTCTAACATTGAGAAGTACCTCATTTAATACACACACACCATGACCAAGAGAGGCCCCCAATGAACTTCAAGACTTCTTGACCTGCAGAAGACCTGCCATTCAGTTCCTACAGCAGACCCGGAAGCCCAGGGTGTATCCCCCAAATGCAGCTTCCCCTCCACCCCCACAATGCAGATACCAGAGCTTCTGTCAAGCAGCCAACATATTGGAAGCATCAGAGAGAAAACAGAAAGCAATAGAGAGAATATTTGAAAAAATAATGGCTGAAAACTTCACCAACTTGACTAAAAAAAAAATTAAAACATTAACCTACATACACATCCATAAAGCTCAATGACCTCCAAGTTAGATAAATTCAAAGATATCCACTCCTGGACACATCATATTCAAACTGTGAAAACACAAAGAATACAGATGGACCCCAACTTATAATAGTTCAATTTAGGATTTTTCAACTTATGATGGGTTTATCAGGACGTAACAAGGAATAACTACACTCACATTGATTCAACTCAACATTTTTTTTTTTTTACTTTACAAAGGGTTTATTGGAATATCACCTCAATGTAAGGTGAGGAACACCTGTATCTTAAAAGCAGCCAGAGAAAAACAATTCATCACATACACAGGATCCTCAATAAGATTAATGGCTAATTTCTCATCAGAAACTATGGAGAGCAGAAGGCAGTGGGATAATGCATTCAAAGTGCTGAAAGAAAAAACATTGCCAACTAAGAATTCTACATCTAGCAAGACTCTGCTTCAAATCTGAAAAATTAAAACATCTCACATAACAAAAACCAAGAGAATTCATCACTAGCAGACCTACCCTGTGAGAAACAGTGAAAAGAATCCTTCTCACTGCAAAGAAAGGGCACCAGAGAATAACTTGAATTCAAATGAAGAAAAGAAGGACACTGATAAAGGTAACCATATAGGCAAACACAGAGACAGGACAAATGTATTTTTCTAAGTCCTTTTTTCCTCCCATCTGACTTAAGAGAAAACTGCAAAAAATAATAACTGTTGATATGCACAAAATACACAAAGATGCAATTTACATGTAATAACAGCAAAAAGGAGAGGGAGGAAATGGAAATCTATAAGGGCAAAATTTTTGTATACTACTGAAATTAAATTGCTTTTAATGTAAACTAGATTTTTATGTTTAAAGTTTCAATTGTTATCTCTAGAGCAATCCCTAAGAAAATAACTAAAACATACAGAAAATAAGAAAATAAAAATTGAACAATAAATAAATATATATAAAGCTGGGTGGTACAGTGTTTGCTTAGTAGGTGCAAAGCCCTGGATTCAACCCCCAGAACCACAAAAACAAAAAAGGAAGGAAAAAAATCAAACACAAAAGAAGGCAATGGGGTCCCTGGTCCCCTACTCCTCACTCTCTTTTATGTTGGCCATGAGATGGATGGTTCTGCTCTGCCACATGCTCCCACTGTGATGTGCAGACCCAAAAGCAGAGGGGCCAATCAATCAAGCACAGGAGCATCTAAAACTCTGAGTCAAAATAAACCTCTCTTTGAAAGTTGATCATCCCAGGTATTTTGTTAAAGAGACAGAAATCTTAACAGAGACAAGCATATAGATAAACATAATAAAATTGTAGGTCCCAAAATAAATCCATCCATTAATGGTAAAGTGGCCTTTTTATTCAGTGGCATTGTCATATTGTTGAACAATCATCACCACTACACATCTCCATAACTGTCCAGCATCCCATTCCAAAACTCTGCATCCAGTAAGCAGTAACACCCCCATTTCTCTTTTCCCCCCAGTGCTGGTAACCACTGTTCTATTTTTTTTTGTCTCCACGAATTTGGCTACTTTAGTAACCTCATATATGTAGAATTATACAATATTTATCCTTGGCAAGTTGGATTTTGACAATCCAATAAATGTGAAGACAATCTTTTCAACAAGTGATGCCGAAACAACTGGATATCCAAATGAAAAAGAATTAGGTTGGGTCCCTACCTAACACCTCGTAAAAAAAAATCTACCACACTGAATCAAAGACCTAAATGTAAGAACTAAAACTATACAATTCCTAGAAGAAAACATGGGTTTAAATCTTTATGGCCTTGAACTAGATTTCCTAGATATGATACCCAAAGCATAAGAAGCCAAAGAAAAATAGATACTGGACTTCATCAAAATTAAAATTTTTGTGTATCAAAGATACTATCAGGAAACTGAAACGACAACCTACACAATGGGAGAAAAAATTCGTGAATCATCAAGAGCTGCTACCCAGAATAAAGAATAAAGAATTTTGAAAACGAGTTTAAAAAAAAAAAAGCACCTTAATAAAAAATGGGTAAATGAGCTGGGTGGTGGCACACACCTGTAATCCCAGCAGCTCAGGAGGCTGAAACAGGAGGATCGCAAGTTCAAAGCCAGCCTCAGAAAAAAAAAAAAAAAAGTGATGTGCTAAGCAACTCAGTGAGACCCTGTCTATAAATAAAATACAAAATAGGGCTGGGGATATGGCTCAGTGGTCGAGTGCCCCTGAGTTCAATCCCCAGTATCCAAAAAAGAAAGAAATGGGTAAAGGGTCTGAATAGAAATTTTTCCAAAGAAGATAAACAAATTGCCAAACAGCACAAGCAAAGATGCTCATCATCAATCTTCAAGAAAATGCAAATAAAACCCACAAGATATTACTTACGGCCATCTGCATGGTTATAATAAAACAGACAATAACAAGTACTGACGAGCATGTAGAGCAACTAGTGCCCTCATACGTTGCTGCTGGGAATATAAATTGGTCCAGTTGCTCTGAAAAATTATTTGGAAATCCCTCAAAAAGTTAAAGGGCTACCACATGACCCAATAATTCCACTTCTGGAGAATTGAAAAACATGTTCACCCAAAAACTTTTACATCCATATTCACAGTGGCAATATTCATAATGGCCAAACAGTGGGCACAACTCAAGAGTTCATCATCTAATGAATGGACAAAGAAGATGTGGCAAATATTCATTAAAAAAAGAATTTTTTTTAGCCACAAAAATAAGCAAAGTATGGATTCATGCTATAATACGGATAAAGTTTGATATTTTCCAGGTGAAAGAAGCCAGACACAAAATACTACATACTGAATGATTTCATTTATATCAAATGTCAGAGCAGGTTAATCCATAGAGACTCAGGGTAAAAGGAATGTTGGAGTGAGAGGAATGGAGGAATGAGAACTGTAAAAGAGCACAGGGTTTCTTTTTGGGTGATGAAAATGTTCTAAAATTGATTGTGATGATCATTGCACAACTCTATAAACACACAAAACTCACTTAACTGCACACTTTAAATGGGTAAGTTGTAAGGTACATGGATTGCATCCCAATTAAATTGTTTTAAAACTTACTGAACTATGCCGATAGTAAAAGTTATATAATGCAAATTTTACTTAAATAAAGCTGATTTATAAAAATTAACAAAACAGAAAGGAGAAATAGATAAATCCACAAACATAGTTGAGATTGTCACATACCTCTGATGGTAATAAAAACAAGCAGAAAAATCAGGAAAGATATACAAGACATGAGCAATACAATTAATCAACCAGACTCAATTGGCATGCAGAACACCACTGCCAACAGCTACAGAATCTATGCTCTCTACAAGTGTATATCATTTATATACTAATAAATATCATAACAATCACATGCTAGAAGTTGAAACAACTTTCAAAGGGATGAGATACTAAGAATATTCATTGAACACAGAATCAAACTAGAAATCAGTAACAGAAAGGGAAATATATAATCCCAAGTTGTTTAGAAATTAAGCAACAAACTTTAAATTCCCTCTGTTCAAAGACAAAAATCACAGTGAAACTAGAAACAAAAATATAAAATATCAGCTGTGAAATGCAGCTAAAGTAATTTTTAGAAGATAATTGACAGTCCTAAATGAATAGAGAAGAACATTAAAAATCAACAATTTAAGCTTCCATCCCAACAATGTCCCTTTCTTCCTTCCTAAGAAGCTAGAGAAAGAACAAATAAAACCAAAAAAGATTAGGAGGAAATTTAAAAGAGCACAAATTAATGAAATAAAACAGGAGATGAAAAAAACGTCAAAAGTTGCTCTTGGATAAGATGAACGTAACATAAAAGATGACCCCAGGAGACAAAAATTATTAGGTCAGGGCACCTCTCTGACCCAGGAGAGCCATGTGTGACCCAGAGCTCAAGCTATTGGAGAGACAGCTGGGGAAAAATGATGTGGCCCAATAAAGTAGAAGTCTCGGCAGAGGAGACTTGGCAAGCCTTCAACTCTCGTCCAAGACCTGCTCCATCTCAGGTTGGGATACCACATGCAAGCACATGCAAGGCTCTGAGCTCCTGACCTGCAAGCCAGGGACTCTCCATGGCTTCACTACTAGTGTTTGAAAACACCTAGGTAATGCCATGGTTGTGAGGCCAGCAGCCTTGCTCTTGGCTGAGCCAGCTGACCAAGAAGCAGGGAGAAGGGAAGAGAAAGGCAAGCACAACCAGCAGGTGAAGAGGATTCCAGATCTGATTCCTAACTATAAGCAGGACTACTTGATTCAAAGTCAACCTAAATGCTGTAGAATCAAAGACCTACTTGTGAAATATCAAAGAGGCTAGAGGCAGCAAGGTAGTTCAGGGTGAAGAACAGAGTAGCAGACAACATAAATCAAGACACAACACAGACACTGCTGCCCATTTTGCCAAATGTCACTTTGACCTTAGGAAAAGCAATGGCCAATCTACCTGACAGCCAGACAAACTAGCAAAATTTCACTTTACACAATATGTATGCACACACATGCACAAACACATAAACAGCAGTGACCCAGCACAAAATGACTCAGAGTACGCGCGCGCACACACACACACAAAGATGGGCATATGCTTAGAAAAAATACACCCAAGTGTGTACACAATAGTCATATGCTTGAGATACACACAATAGACGCTAGTCCCAGTCTTACCCTATCCATGGTCAGGGGGACATGTTCCAAGACCCTCTATGGATACTAGAAACCACAGAGAATAGGGAATCTTATCCTATATATACATATACATCTATGATTAAGTTTAATTTATAAATTAAATACATAAGAAATTGACAATAACTAATAATAAAGCAGAACAATTATACAAAAAGACAGTAATAAAAATTCCAGCGTCATTACTTTTGCTCTTTGGGGCCATTATTAAGTAAAATAATAATGAACACAAACACTGGGATACAATGACAGTCAATTTGATAAGTAACACAGCTACCAGTGACTAACGGTTGGGTAGCATGTGTAACATGGATACAATGGACAAAGTGATGACTCATGTCCTGAGCAGGAAAGTGTAAGATTTGATCATGCTACTACTCAGAATGGCATACAATTTAAAACTTACGAATTGTTTATTTCTACAATTTGTCCTTTAATGTTTTTGGCCCTCCATTGACTATGGCTAACTTACCTCAAAAACCAAAACCACAGAAAGCAGGGACTACTGTATATGGCCAAACACATAGATACAGGTTTATACACACAAACACACACTAAGTTACATAAACTTAGAAGCATGTGAACAAACACAGACACACACACACCCATTTGGACAAGGATATATTCAGATATACACAAAGACCCAGATCCAGATAAATAGATACAGATACACAGACTCCTATAAACTGATGTATATACACAGACACACACAAATGCACATTCAGCCACAAAAACATACAGAAGGAAACACATTCAGATGCACAGAAAAGAGTTCAAAAGACAGTATTGATGGGTTTAATTCTGGATAATGAAACTTGAATATTCCATATTTTTACCTCTGTGCTAACAGCATTTTTCTATGATGACTGTATATCAATTATATAAAATCAACAACAAAACCCACCAATGGTCATAAGAAAGCAAGAATGTCCTGGAAGAAGACGGTAATTTCCTGGTACGCTCTAAATATGGGGTAAGCAATAAAGGGGTGAACAGGGTGGGCCTGACTTCCTGCGTGGGCCTCTAGCTTCAACCCTGGAGGGTCTAACCCAATGCATGAGGCAGACCCCCAACTCTACTCCCTGCTAGGGGGTGGGGCAGGTTCTCCCCTCATGGAGACTTCCATGGAATTTGAAACCCAATCCTAAATATTAATTTGTTATGCAAGTTAACAGTAGCCAGAAGCCAAGGTCCCCAAACCACAAATTGGCATTTTGTTATAATTATCAAGTTTTAATAATGTCCCTCTACTTCCTGGGTTTTAAAATTCACATCTTTGAATATTAATATTCCTACATTAACAACCCCCAAATTCAGCATTTCACATTTAACTGCTTATTTAAATGGAATTAATTTGTAACCAATTGTCTTCAAATATCCAAGGCAATTTAAGTACATGCCAAAAGATAAGAAATATGCTTATCCTGAATAACCAGCTGATGTAAAACAGGGACCATATTTCTCTCTCAGACAGCCTATGAAATGCAGTCTATAACTTGCTGTCCCCATGCAGGACTCCTGGGCACAGACTCTGCCTGCCTAGAAGGGAACTGTCTCATGCCAGGGATGCATCCCTATTAAGTGAGGCAAATCAAACCTGAAAAATGGGGGGGCCCTCAACTCAGACAGCATGGCCCCCTAAAGACCATTTTCTTCCCTTCATGGTCAGCCTCCCCATCTCAGGAAAATATGCCCTGAAATCTATCATCTCCTCAGCAGCTAACAAAGACCCATCACATCTGACAGGGTTCCCAGGGTGCAGCAATCAGGTGCTCCATGGAGCCTGGGTACCCAGAGTCCACAGGAAGAAGTCTCAATTCCTCTTTACTGCAGGGCTCCTCTCCCCGTCTCAGCTCTCTGGCCTCCTGTGCGTCTACCACCCACCCTGCCTCTGCCTCCCTTCCCTCTGATGCCACCCTCTATCATCCCTATCACTGTGAGACCCCAAGCCCTCCTGCAATGGGCTGATCGCCTCTGATCCTGGGAGCTAAGGGAGGTCTAAGACCAAGGTTGAGCCCAAGTGGAAGGAGTTAGCCTCCTCCTGTCTGCGAGCAAAAGCAAAGGCAGCCTGAGAGGGCCCATCAGGACAAACTGAGAGGCCAAACCTGAACTTCTGTTGAAGTGGGAGGTTCAACAAAAATCCAAGACGGAGGTACAGCAGAGATGTTTAATATGGTCAAAAGCAAAAATTCCAGGAATAAGGAGCTTCATTAGGGCAGTGAGAGGCAACTAGGGACACAGCAGTTGAGAACTGGAAAGTAGGACGACAGCAAGATTCATCTTGCTTAGGAAACAGTCTATTATTATCCCCAGCAAACAGCTGGAGGCACTCAGCAGGCAGGTGAATGCGGTCACTGAGCCGCAGTGGCCCTCAAGGACAAGGTCTCTTCCCAGCCCAGTGCAGTGGTAGAATTGAGGTGCTGGTCAATTCTCCACCTGGGTGGTGGGAGGCAGGGGACTGAGCTATACTCAGAGCCCAGGAATACAGAGGTGACTTCCTGGAGGAAGGATCAGGGAGCACCTGGAGGCAGACGCCAGAGCCCCAAGTCAGTGCCCATGGGATACTAGGTAGGGGGCACCTGTGAAGGATCCTTCCCCAGCGGAGCAACCCCTGGTTGTGAAGTTATACCAAGAGAATGGTGAGATGTGAGGCCCAGAGAAGAGGCCTGAGGGGACACACCTGCCTGGGGATAGAGGAGAAGGGAGACCAGGAGACCGGGAGATACAAAAGCAAAGAAACAGGTGGGAGGGCTTTCCCCTGCAGCACTCAACCAATCAGGGACCTCAGCCAACTGCCCATCATGTGGGTGTGAAAATAAATCTACCCAATGCCCATTTGGAGGACAGTCTCTTAGCCCAGACAAGCAGATGAAGGCCTGGAGACCACCAGTCAGCCCACATCTGGACCAGACTGTGTGCCACAGATGGTGCAATCTATGTGCCAGGGGAGATGATGCAAAATTAAGCTTGCCCTTGGCTCTCTGAAAATCATCTCCAGATGCTGAGGTAGTGGGTAAGGGCTTGTGGAGCACAGGACCCTCAGGGCTTTGGGGGACTGTGGAGATTCATGGGAGTAAGAGGGGAACAGGGCAGGGTCTGCTTAAAAGAGAGAGAAAGCTGGAGTTTACAGTGATGTGGGATGAGGCCTCCACTTCTGACTCCCCCATAACGTGACGGTGGCCCTGACTCTTTTCTGTGAACCTCATAGAGCAGCCAGCAGAGGTCTGCCTCAGGGACCCCATCCTGAGCTTCCCACCCAGGACCACACCTGCCATACCAACTCACTGTGTGGTCTGGGGGAAGCTCAGCCCTCTGTAACAGAGATCTCCAAAGAGACAAGAAAAGGCCCCACAGCCAAGAGGCCCTGCATCTCACCATCACCTGGGAACGCCCGCCATGCTGGGCCTATCTAGCCCACTGTGTAGATGTGAAGACAGGCCCACACGGCAAGCAACTACTAAACAGCAGCTCCATGCAGACTCTGGATGAATGGGATCTCTTTAGTCCCCACAAGAAGCCCAAGCAGTATCATGTTATGTCGGTGGGGGGGGGGGGGGGGGGAGGGCAAGGTCACAAAGCCAGTCAGGGTACCCCTTCAAAGCTCAGGGCCCTGCCCGAGGAAAGACCTAGGAGTGGACATAAGGATGCTGTGGAGATGGTCCGTGGTGTTGGTCAAGGAAGCTGAGCAGGGCCTTGAATGCAGGCACCTGGGTCATGGGGAGGCCTAGCCCTGGACAGCAGCAGCTGACTGTGCCCACACTCCCCCCAAGGGCCTGAGGACAGACAGCAGTTCCAGCTCCATGGTCAGCATTTCAACGAGCAGACTAATGGCATAGGAGGCAAGGCCACTTTGAGCAAACTCCCTAGAGGATGCAGAGATTTGTACAATGGAAAGAAGCAAACCTGATACCCACTCCCCCTATCTCAGCGCTCTTATCACTGGGAAAGTGATACATATTCATGAGCTCATAATCCTTTCTAATCACCACTACATCACACATACGCACAAACTCCCGCAGCTCAGGCTCATACATAATTATAAGGAGCTTCCTCCGTCACTGCCTGGGTCCACCAAAGGACAACAGAGGACGCAGCAGCTACAGTGAATGTGTGGTGGAGGAGGACGCTGGCGGCCCAGGTTCATTCAGGAGCAAGGCTGGGTGCTGTCCACTGTCCACACTCAGCAGCCTGGAGCAGGGCCTCTCTTTGAGGGCTTGTCTGCGGCAGGGTCAGCCCAGCATTGTAGGCCCACAGATCCCTGAAGCTGGTCCCGAGTCAGCCTGGGGACACAGCATAGTGGATAGGCAGTACTCTCTGGGGGCCACAGGGTGACGAGGTGACAGTGAGGTGAAGGTGCTCCTCTCCCTGTGACCAACAGCTGCCCACCTGCCTGGAGAGGCCTAGAAAGGGAAAACTGCTTCCTAAGCAGGGTTTGGTGATTCATCTCAGAGCTCAGTTGAGGAATACAGGCAGATAAAGGGACACTACCTGAGACTAGGGCAGTAGGGGACACAAGAAGTTGTTGAGAGCTGGACTGGGAGAGGTCAGTGGCCAGGAGTAACAGGAGGGCCCATATGGCAAACAGTGTGATCCAGAGAGACCATGCACAGCTGCTAGAGCCGGGCACTTGCATCATGAAGCACAACAGAGAAGGTTTGTGCTCCTTAAAGCAAAAATAGACAATTTTAGGCCAATAATTTTAAAACCATTTCCTCAAAATGCCCAGCACCAAATCCATTTTTCGAATGTTCCTCTGTGTATTTCACAGCTCATGTATAGACTGGGGAAGACCCTCTGGCCAAGGAGCAAGTACATGAGGGATGGACAGACAGCCTGGGACCCGCACTCACTTGCTGATGCCCTCAAAGGAGGCTTCCCTGCACACGCTGCCACTGTCGGTATTGACACCACGCTGCAAGGAAAGGGAGAGAGGGTGTAAGAATACACACATGTCACACGGGGGCCACACAGTGTCCCCATAGCCTGCACAGGAGACCCTACCTCCTCCAAGCAGGCTCAAGATAGGGGAAGTCAGGGAGCCCCAACTCTGAACCCAAAACCCCTCCCCCTCCTGCCTTTCCCTCACCCATGAGGCCCCCACTCCCACCCTGGCCAGGCAGCTCCAACCCAGGCCCTCCTTTCTGCACTGCAGCTTGAAAAGCAAGTCAGGAGCCTCATGTTTCCCACAATGTCCAGGTACACAACAAGGTCTCCTCCATGGATGGGTCAGAATACTCTGATGACACCAGCTAGGGTGCTGGGCCCAGGTAGGGCCCAGGCAAGAAAAGTGGGTACCAGGAACTGCTCTCCACCACTACCAACTGCTCTGCCCAGGCTGGGCCTTATCATCTCTCTCACCCACATGTAACAGGGATATCAGCAGCACCCCCAAGCCCCCTTATCTGCACAGATATGACCGATCGCGGATCAAAAATAATTGAAAAAAAATTGCATCTGTACTGAACTTCTTGTCATCATTCCCTAAATCTACTGCATAGGTTATTTCCATAGCATTTACATTAGATCAGGTATTATAAATAATCCAGAGATAATTTAAAGTATATTAAAAGAGATATATAAGTTATACAAATACTATGTTATTTTATATAAAGAACTTGAGCACCTGGAGGTCTCGATATCCAAGAGGGTTCTAGAACCAAACCTACAGATAGAGGGATGACTGTACTATCAAATCCAAGGGTGTGGGACCTACATCAGACAGGACTGTTGTGAAGCTGTTCCACCCCTATCCTTTTCCTAATTGTAAGGAGACTTCACGTGGAAATGGACCAAGTGGAAATGAAACAAGAGATTCAGAGAAAAAGATGCCCCCCAGCAAGGCAAGGCATTTTAGATCACAACTGCTTTCTCAAGAACTTCAGGCCAATCGATGTCTCACCGCATACCCAAGGCACTGGGCCATCTCTGACCACAAGCATCGAATGCAACCTTCCTTCTTAGCCACCAAAACAGCAGCACAGAATAAATAAACCAAGGACTAAAGAAAAAAAATCACCAAGAACTATTCCTGTAAAAATCAATTAACAAAGGAAAGAAGGGTCACTTTGGAAGGACCATGTAGATGAAACTCCCAAAGTCAAAGAAGAGCAACGAAGCGCGCTTCCCCTCTAGACATCCCACAGCAAGCGAGCCCAAGCCCTGCCAGGTGCCGGGAGCCCATGCTGCACTCCAGGCTGGGCTCCACAGCCCAGCTATCTGAGGAGGGAAACCAAGGGTGTTTTTCAAATTCCATTAACGACAAGTTATATGCAAATGCTACTGAGGGAGGAGTAAACTATCATTCCACACTGCAAAGCCCATGAGCTCAGACCAACACGACTGCATCTTCCAGCAGGTGTTAACCCTAAGTGCACATGGTGCCTCGTCCATCACGTCCCAGGGACAAGAATGGGTCCTGGACACAGTCAGCCATTCAGACTAAGAAAACATGGCTACTATTACCAATGACCATTCCTCCCCATTTCCTAATTCTCCCCTACCACTCTGACATTAGCAGGGAAAGGTTGCTCCCTGAAACCTCTTCTCTGTACTGAACACTGCCCAGCTCCTAGACACCAGCCACTTACCAAGGTTAGGAGGACAGAGGGGTTCTGTGATGTCAGGATACTGGCAATCTGAAAGGTAAGAAAGAAAAAAAAACCATTTTACCATTTTAGAGCAATTGTGAAGAAGTCTGCTGGATATAATATACCTCCATTACTTAATGACAGTGCACATTTATACAGCAGGTCCTTAAAATAGGTGAGACTATTGTCCCATTCTGCAGAGGAGGAAACCAAGGCTTACACAGGTCGAAGAACTTCTGAAAGTCACACAGCTATCAAGTGGAAGAGAAGGCTTCAAACCTAAGCCTGGCACGACCCCATGGCATGGGCCTCCAGGTACCAGCAGATCCTAGTTCCAAACAACCAGACCCGCCCACCCTCCAGGCTACCACCTCTGCCATCTGCCAAGAGCCAGTCCCACCAGCCCAAAACCCTCAGGCACTGTCCCACCAGCTCTGCAACCCCAGGGAAGACACCTCCCTCCCTGTCCCCCATTCTCAACTAGACTGAGAGAGTTAGCCATCCCCAACTCCACCCTTTGGCCTCCAGCCCATCAGTTGCTCTCCAGTTCCCCACGCCCTACCATAGCCCACTCAGATGCCCTTCTCAGCAGGCCAGTCACTTCCTCCTCCGCCGATACCCCACACAACTCTCCACATCCCTGCTCTCCTTTCAATGGGACCTCTGCCCAGAATGCCTTCCCCCCATCTCCACCGCTCCACCCCGTCTGCATCCCCAAGGCAGGCTCATCCGCCCCTCCTCTACGACCTCACCAGCAGTCATCAATTCCCCAGCTGTGACTCCTGCACCCAAGAGTGCCACCGCCCTGCAAGGAGCAATTTCTTCCTCTCCAGACCCCCACCCTAGTCTGCCTGTGTCTGGGCTACTGAGTCGGCCCCCTCCCCCTGCAGCCCCTGCCCTAAACTCTGACACCCTGGCCACTGTGACAGTAAGGAGGACATGTTGCTGTTTTAACAGACTGACTGAGCTGTCACTGACATACTCTACAATGAATTTATTTTAAGGGGACATTTTGACATATGTATATACATCTATTTTAATACAGAGATGCTCCCAGAGAAAAGCTGGAATATTCTGAAGCATCACAAACAATATGGATGTGCAGCTACTCTTGAACAATCAGAGTTCAGCACATGACAATAAAGTGCACCTGCAATCCCATCCTGGGAGACTTTTTAGCTCTACACATAAAAACAGAGATCTGTAATGACATTTGGATCATACGAAATTACACGGTTCACTTATTTCCTGTCATTAAATATTCTTCAAACACGCAATTTTTAGCAGTCACTACCTCTGGGGATGATAAACGTTCAATAAGTCCTTGATTATGGCCTGTGCCAGTCATCTTACACCCATCATCTCATTTAACCACCCATGAAGATGCTGCCACCACGGCCAGATTTCACAAATGAGAAGGGCTTGTGGGCTAGAGAACTTGCCCAAGATCAGAGCTAAAAGATGGCAAAGCCCAGATTTGAACCTATGACTGTGTAATACTCTCTGAATGGACACAGCATAATTTATTCATCCTTCTATTGGACATAAATTATTTCTAAGGATGAGCGATTATAAATAATGTTGTGATGAACATCTAGCACATAAGGCTTTATTTCTTTAAAATTAAATTTCTTAAAAAGCTTATTTCCTTTAGAAAGGAAGGAAGGAGGGAGGGAGGAAGGAAAAAAACAAAGTTGATTCAGTTGGGTCAAAAGCTGTATACAGTGTCAAGGCTTGTGATGCCCATTGTCAAGTTACCCTCCAGATTCATACCAACCACCCTCCCTCCAGCCATGCCCGAGGCTCCCTCTCCCCATGTCCTGTCCGTCACTCCCTCATTCACTCTGAAACTGCTCTAAGAATGAATGAGCCCTCAGCCTCGGTCCCTTCCACTCCCCAGCCCCTCCCGCAGGAGCGGGAGGCTCAGGAAAAGGAACAGAGCTGCCTCACTGCCACGGAGCAGGTCCTGCGTGTGTTGTTATGTTGACACGAAGGGTCTACATTCATCAGCACACAACGATTCTGTCAATTACAGCAGCAGAATCAGAGAAGGCACTTGGGGATTGTATCTGCTATTGTCCTTGGGAGAGAGGAGCTGGATAACAAATGTGCGGGCTGATGGTTTTTCTCTCTACAACGACTCTCTGGACGTGCTGGTTAGGGATAATGGAGGAGAAAGCAGCCCTCGCCATGCTGCCTGACGCTCAGATGGATCGAGGCCCGACACAGAGAGCAGGCTGTGCGTCTGCGAGGCCTGGCAGGGCAACATCTTTTATTGATCACAACTACTTCAGTGGGCCCTGGCTACCTCTGCAGCTGTGAAGCCTCTCCCGGCCTGGCAGCTCCATCAGCCCTTCCCCATGGAGACCCATTAGGGTGACGTTCTCATCGGCACACTCTGAAGCTGTGTCTCAAAAATTAAGGGAACACGATGTGGCTGTATCCCGCTGGCTCAAAATGCAGCCCCCACACAGGACAGCACAGTTCTGTCAACCCAGGGCCTCATTTCCACAGAGCAGTGGCCGCTGGGGACACATCAGCTCTCCCCAGCCAGTGCTGTTAAATGCCCCGGCTGTGCCGCAGGCCATGGCCAGCATTGATCTCCCAGGCAGCCTGGCCTCCCGGGCAGGTCAAGGTAGATAGGCATCCACAGCATGCTTCAGAGCCTGGTGGGCACGGCCACCTCATGCATTCCCCTAATCAGGATGCCAACCAGGCCTGTGGCCACTCTTCACAAAGGAATTAGTCATGCCTTCACCAGTGTTGCCGAGAGCGCCCATCTGGCTCCAGAGAGCTGGGCTTCGCCATGCAAGCACTAAAACTCTTGAAAGTAAACCCTCGTTCACAGCAGTCTCTTGAAACATTAGTGCACACTGGTGGCCTGCAATGCTTTTAAAATTTTGAATTTGTTTTTAAAATGGAAACATCACAAACAATATGGATATGCAGCTGAACAACTGGAATATCCAGCAGACCTGGGCCAGGAGTTCTGCAGAACAGCGGCCCCTTTAGAGGAGGGGTGGCTCTCCCTGCCCCCCCACCCCCCAACTCCCTGAGGTATCTCTACCCCGGGGCTGGGGGGCAGGCAGCATCTTCCCTGTGGTGCTGTGGTTGTTTCTCTAACATCTGTCCTTTCTGGATCTGAATTGGTGACCCCAGTGTCTCTGAACATCTGCCAGGTGCCCTGAAGGAGAGAAAGTGCACAGAGCATTCCCTGCACGCCACTAGCCCCCAGCTGGGTCCTCGCCGCGCTGCAATGCCTCAAGTACCACTCACGGGTCTCCTGAGTGTCCCCTTGTCAGGGAAGCTACCATCTCAATAATTAAACTCAGGCCCCTATATGAGGAGAGGGGAACCGGAAAGCCCAGTTTGCATTTTATATGTGATATCAAGTGAGTAGCAATGGCCTGGTGGGGTGGGGCTCTGACTTGCACAGAACTTGAAGGTAGTGCTGGTGCCCCAAAACAGAGCGGAGGGGCCTCCTGTGTGCCAGGCAGTGGCCACAGCATCACAGAGCCTTGGTCATTTGGTCACTTGGACCACAGAGCTAGCTAGTGTCACCAATGCCACAGCCCTCTCAGCAGTAGAAGCTGGAGGAGAACCCTTCCGTCTGCCTGGAACACATTCAAAGCCTCAGGAGGACAGTCATACACTTAACCAGGTCACATCACACCTGCCGGACAACCAGGCTGGGAAGTGGATTTAAGTCAAGAGACCTCCAACTCCACCCACCCCACCAGCCTTTCACTGCCCTGGGTTCTCTAGACAGTGGCACCTGTAGCTGGCAAGGGCCTGTAAGGAAGCCTCCTGACACACAGCCTCAGGCCAAGCCCAGGGGTTCCTTTGGTCAGACCTAAGTCCCTGCTTCAGGTAAGCTGCCTCTCAGAGAAGTCATCCCCCGGTGCATCTCAGTGGCCACAATCCAGGTCACCAGGCATTTCCACCTAAGTCAGAGGCAATACCCAGGGCACAAATGGCTTCCTCCGAGAAGTCCGAAGTGCACATTTCCTGCCAGCTCTGAGTGAGGTTCTCCTCAGGGCTGGTGGCCAGGCAATGGTGTCCGCAGGCTGTGGCAGTGGGAGGAGAGGAAATTCAGAAGCAGAAGGGTTACTGAAGCCAAGGAGCTGCTTGAGAGAGCAGGCATCAGCAACTTACCTCATCTGTATACTGGACGGCGTCCACAGCATATTTCTCCTTGAAATGCTCCTTGGAATGGATCCTCAAAAGGAAGCACAAGGAATGCCAGGGTCAGGGTTTAGCAATGGCTCAGCGTGGCCACTTTCTTGCTTTTCATGCCTAGGCCGAAGCCCCGGGCCCATTTGGAGTGGACACAGAGCGGATCTGCCCAGTAGAACTTGAGGACAAGGACACTGGGCCAGAATGTCACCTGCCTTCTTAGACACCACCATTCCCAGGGACCTCCACCCCTCTTGCCTGCAGCAAGCAGATGCAAATGCCCCCTCTTTCCAAGATCTCTCTCCACCACCGCAGAGCCTGGCCCAGACTGTATGCACAACCCTTAGAACATGAAGCAAGCAGCCTCCTGGCTGTAATGGAGTCTCTTTAAAGGAAAGTTAACAAATTAACATTTTAAAGAAGTTAATATCAGTATTACTCAACAGGATGAGAAAAACTTAAGCTGAATCATCAATCCTGAAAAATCAGCCAATGAGAAGAGACAGGGCAGATGAGGTTGGGCAGCCCTCGCCCACCTCACCCACCTTACAGTGATGCGCCTGGGGGTCACAGCTATGCCAGGCAGACCTCACGCTGGGTCCAGCAGGCCACCACCCCCACTCTCAGGCTCCAGGTCAGCAGATGAGTCAATGTCACTGCTGGTGACAGAACTTACATATGGAGGAACACTAACTACATGGGGGAAGGCCAGCGCCAGCCAAGTCCAATGACGCACGCTCACACCATCCACGCCATCCCCCCTGGCAGCAATGTCATCACAAGGAGTCACCTGTGGGAGACCACTTGCACATGACTGAGTCACACTCCCCGGCTGGGTGCTGAGGCGCTCAGTCACAGAAATATGGCAGAGCTTTCCCCCCCTTTCTTGGGTTTGAGAGTTGGTGTCTCGTGCATGGGTGTGTCTTCCTACAGCCCCTTGGGTGAAGCTATGCTCACCTGTTCCTTTGAAATATAACTCCTTGCCTGGTTTAGGATAAAATCTTCCATGGAAGTGCCTTGTGTGTGTCCCCCTCTCTTACTGTGCCCTTGGGTGTGGCCTACCCAGATGTCAGTCAACCTGCTGATGGTGGACATCATGAAGATAGATTCAGCCCCATGAAACCTGACCCCTTGCCTCATTTGAACAGCTTCTCCTCAAAAAAAGGGGTCAGCGTGTGCTCTCGCTCTCTCTCTCTTCCTGCGGACCCTTAAGGTCAGAGGTGCCGACACAGCGACCCCAAAGAAAAAGATATTTGTGTCTCTTGTGTGGTTATTTTGCACAGCCCAGTCAGCCCAGTTCAACTGGAGTAATCCCTGAGCCTTTTAGTCGGGAGAACAGAAACCCAGCAGTCACCTCCATCCTTGCCCTGCCAGGCTACCTGTGGTCTCACAGCATTGTCATCAGCAGGTGTCACACCCTACACTGGCCTCAGACAAAGCACAGCAGATGGTTTCCGGATTCTGCTTCCTGGGCCCTCAGGGGTTATATGATAAGAGGGTATCTAGGGAGTCCCAGATGAAACAGGGGAGGCACTGAACTTCAGCACTCAGAATGAATCCTTAAAGACTCCTACATCCAAGGCCTGTGTGACATGAATGACCAAAAACCAGAATCCCACAGCTCTCCCTGGCCCTCCACCACTTCCCTCTCCACAAGAACAATCCTCAGGAACTGACTGCCAAGAGGGTAGGCCACAGGACCTAGGGCACAGTGGTGGGCTGTGGGAGCAGCAGCAGGGAGCTCACAGGCACTCAGGGTGAGCTGGGTCAGGCAGAAAGCCCACCTCAGGGTCCAGAGTCTGGTTTCAGTGTGGTCGGCTGCTCACCACAGCCCAGAATGCCCTCAGCTTTTCCTCCCTTTCGGCCCTTCAGATGTGATCACTGGGTATCAAGCTCTTACTGTTAATTAAATTTGCACAATTCAATCACATTAACTTCCATGTTTGAGACAGGACTCAAAAGTTTAAATGGCCAAGGTCTGACACCTCCATTAGCATGGCCCCAAGCAGCTCCAGGCAGAAATGGATGACAAGTACCCCCCAGCAGGATTCTGGAGGTCCCAGCTGCAGGCTGGCTTAGAGAACTGTCAGGTCCTTCGCTACTGAGCAGCGACTCTCTTGGCAAGTAGTTGACCTTGCAAGTGGCACAAAAACAAGAACCAGAAAAGCAAGAGGCAGGGCCATCAGCAAAATGTGTTGCTGGAGCGTGGTGCACGCCTGTAATCCCAGCAATTCGAGAGGCTAAGGCAGGAGGATCACAAGTTCAAGGCCAGCTTCAGCCAATTTATCAAGACCCTATTTCAAAATACAATAAAAAGGACTGGGGAGGTAGCTCAGTGATTGAGCACCCCTGGGTTCAATCCCCAGGACCGGTGGTTGTGGGTGTCTTGACCATATCCACTGTGATTGCCAGCTCCACAACACATGCCTGCATCCTCAGCAAGTCCCCGACTCTGCCCAACTCTGGCCCCTTTCACTTCATTACCTCCAGTGATAAGAGGCATGGAGGGCAAATTCCCAATGGATTCATAAAGTTCATCGGATCTGACTTCAAAGCCAGCCTCCATGGCTCCTACAGAGAGGCATCTCGGCTACGTGTAGGTAGGCACCTGGCCTTTCCATCTCCACTCCAGTAGGAGTCCTAAATCCTCCCACCTCACTGGAACCATCCTGCTGAAGGAAGCCACCTGCCCTTCCAACCCAAGAGTCTTGTCAGTTAGTCCTCATGGGGAGGTCTCCAGCCAGTAAGCCTGAGGTCAAGGATTTAACAGCAGGAAACCAAAAGAGGTACCAGCAAAGGGGAGGTGAACTAAGGGAGCTGAGACCTGTGGGTGACCCCAGGGGATGTGCTCACCTATCCACTCCTTCTTGGTGGCCATAGCCCTTCCACTCACTGATCATGGAAGCTGAGCTGAAGCACAGGAAGCTGGCCCACAGGAGAGCCTGCTACTGCCACCCCAATATCAGGAAGAAGCGGGCATAGGCGCCAGACCCACCAAATGCCCTTTGCCCAATCAGTGCTTGCCCTCCTCAGTGATGCCAATGAGACAAAAAGGGCCTCCCTAGCAACAGGCCTGATTCTTTATTTGACAATTAAGACCTGAAGATTTATAAGCATTGTGTCTGGCACCGTGCACTTAATTCTTGTCAAAGGGCAGAAATAATTAAGTTTGAATAGTACTTATTTTTTCATGTTTTGGAATTAATTATAGTAAAAATCATTTAAATGTCACCTAAAGCAATATGCATGCCAGGCTACCATGTCACACCAGTCATCAGAACGCTTGGCAGCCATGATTTGGCAGGTTGATGGGAACAGGAGTAGCATGTCCACGGAACCCTGCCAAGCTGGCTGGAGAGGTCACTGAGTGGCTCTGAACCCACTGGAGAGGTCACTGAGTGGCTCTGAACCCACTGAGGGCCAGGCTGGCCAGAGCGGGAGATACCCACTTGGAGGTTCTACACCCTGTCCCACCTAGAGTCGGGGATCCAGAAAATAACTCATTCCAGGCCCCATCACATGGCAAATTTGAAGAAAAAAAAATTGGACTAGGAAAGGATGGGTCTGGAGGGAAGCTGAGGCTTCCGGTGCAATATTTTTCGTTCAAGTGCAAAGGAAGCTTTTGCAAAAAGAGAAGTCCTCTCACTCAATGGATTCTCATCCTTCAGAGGGGGCCCACGCCCAGGGACCTGGCCAATGCAGGCCTGCTCTGCTAGCAGCTGGGCCCCAGCAGGAGCCCAGAGTCAGAGCTGATATCTGCTTACTGTGCAGTGAGCGCCAACACCCCGCGCAAGGCCTCGGGTGGGAAGGAGACATTAAATTAATGTCACACAATGCAGACACGATGGAGCCCCTTGGAAAATGAAATTTCAAAGAGCAGGTCTTGGCGGCTAGCTGACCACCTGCATACAGTTAATGAATAAGTAATAGGGCCAAATTACAGCAGTCACCATCAATTTCCAGCGGCCAGAGCCTGCCTTCAGCTCCAAACAATGCCGCTGCCCTTCATTCCGTTCACAGCAGAACGCAGCGGCACTTGCTCCTGAGTGGAAGTCGGCAACCATTTCAAGATTTCATTAGGTTGTCAAAGAGAAAAGCAGCCCCCTCCAGAGCAATGCGGGCGTGTGATCCTAGAGACCTCTCCCGCAGGCGAGCCGGTGCATCGGCAGCGCTTCCTGTGAGATGCTCAGCTCAGAGAGGCCCAGCAGAGAGAGAGGGGGTAAGCACAGGTGATTAAGACAGGCTTGCCAGGGGGTCAGCACAGCCCCGGAGACTAGGTGCTGGGAGGATCTACGAGCAGCCCATGAAAAGCCAAAGGAACCCCACCAGCCCCTTCTCGGTAAGGCCTGTGCCCCTGGAAGATGGCCCCGCACATACCTCTGATAATAGAAGGAGCTGGGGTGAGGCCAGAGAGAGGTTGAGGAAGCTCTGTCCTCATGACCCAAGATGTGTGCATGAGGAGCTGTGCCATGAAAACACCAAACACATCACACACACACACCCATGTCACAAACACTCCACATGCATCACACCACACACACACACACACACACACACACACACACACACACACCCATATATCACTTCCTACACCAAAAGAAATCAGGCGCAGAGTCTCAGGTCCTCAGCCCTAGAGAAACTCACCTGCCACTCTTCTGGGCAGCCTGAGGCCCAGACAGGTATTCAGGAGGATGAGCACCCACTACCTACAAACTCAAGCTCGACACACTGTCTCTCATCCTACAGATTGGGTTTTTCAGAGGTTCCAGGAGGGTCCCTACCTTGGTCCAAAGTTGTTCACCCTCTATGGGCCCTGTGTCTTCCCAGGGTGTTAAATTACAGAAGTAATTTCCTGTTCTGAGGACCCCAGACACCCCAAAACCAACGCTGCCATCAGCTAAGCCTGATTCTGATGAACTATTTTGATGAACACCCTTACATCAAAAAGACAACACAATTTCATGAACAAAGGCTGCAAATAAAAATGAGTTTAAAACTACCACTCTCCTGCTCCAAAAAAGGCCTAGGGTAAGGCACAGGCAGGCTCCAGGCTGCTCACAGCCCCCTGGGTGTCTGCAACCCTGACAGCAGCCTAGACAGCGAATGCAGGAAGCGGCAGATCCTGCAGACGGGGGTGTTGTTTCCCTGGGTGACTTTGGATTGCAGTATCTGCCAGATGGATTTTCAAAAGTCATCAGATAGAGACTCCGAAGGAAGCTGAGGAGCTGAAGGTCAAATGTTCAGTCTGGTGGGTTTTGATTGCAAAGGCCAGGTAATCCCATGAGCTCGTTCCCGGTGCCCTATTGATTATAGAAGTGTCTGGAAGCAGCCACACACATCAGATCTGGCCGACCCCCAACACCAGCCTGAACAACCAGCCCCTTTGTCGCTGCCCCATTATAACCACGCCTTCTCTCCCAAAGGTTCGAGACGGGGGACTAAGAGAGGGTCATCACAGAACAGAGAAAGGGAAAGGCCTGCTGGGAGTGGCCATGGCAGGAAGCCAGGGCTGCAGGAGACAAAGATCTACTCAGGTGTGGGAATTCCCCTTGGGACCAAGGCTGCCCAGCAAGCCTGTCCAGCCTACACATGAAGACTTTTCCACCAGGGAGGACCACCCTACAGACCTGCCTGAACCCTCAAGGTCACCCAAGGCTATCTGCCTGTCCTAGACAATGAGAGGGCAAGGCAAAGCAGTGGCAGACTAAAGGAGACTTCTAACAGCTTCTCTGAAACCCAGCTGTGGCCAAAGCATAGAATATTATTCCTGTATGCTCCAGAAAAGCCAGCTGCTAACTGCTGTTCCCTGACCAATAGGATACTGGGTTTTAAACCCTCAAGTCAAGTGCACAGGGTGGATGCGAGGAGACATGTTGAAATTCGCTCAGGTTTAGCCACTGGATAGTGGTCCTAAGGTAGGACCAGGTCCCTCCTCCCACAGCCCCAGAAGATGCCCACACTCAACCCATGGACAAGCACCCTCTGACTTCTTGCTAGAGCCAGTTCTTCATAAAAAGAAGTAAATAGGCAGAAGAGACATTCTCAGAGCCCCTCCTCCTCTTGATTCAGAAACCCCAGGTGAGGCCCTACAGACGCCCTGATCAGAACCTTCTGGAAGCTGTCTTTCTTACCACAGTCTCTCCCCACAACTCACAGACAGAGGCATTTGGTCTGAGAGCCGAGCTAACTCTCTGAGCAGTGAGCTCTCAGCAATTTCTGAGCCAAGAGGCAGGACCACAAAAAGGCTAAGAGGGCAGCCAGGTGAAAACTGCAGGTGCCACCCAGAGCCACGGGACGCTCAGCACAGGGGCCCCAGCTACTACTCAGATGTGACTCACAAAGAAGGGCTAAGGCCACAACTCTGCTCCTGTGACCACCTTGGGGTGAAAAAATCTGCAAGGATCCTCTTACAGGGACCAGATCTAAACTCTTCAACAAGGTTGTTCTGGGTGCTAGGGTTGGGTAACAAACTACCCTGACAGTCGGTGGAACAGAAAACCATTTATCATGTTCATGGATTTTCTAGGTCAGGCACTTGGAGCCCAGAGAGTATGCCTAAGCTCTGCTCCACCACACCTAGGACATCTAGACCTCCGCAGGAAGACTCGCTTCCATGGGTGAACTTACCACTGCATTTGACATCTAGCCTCTCAAGTTGCACAATGACACCACCACTTCTAAGCACCAAGATGGTCAGGGAATCCTGACCAGGGTCAGGGAAAACAGATTCCACTTTTAGATAGCAAATTGCCAGAAACGTTGCTGCAGTCAATTCTGGACATTACAATCTACCCCATCATTACTGCCTCATGTCAGTGTCAAAAATATAACCATCCCCACAGTGGCCACCACTGTAACGACAGCCCAGGTGGCATCTCATGAGCAGCACCACTATTATTTTGCAGGAAGGAACTGGAGCCCCAAACAGTGACCAGACCTATTCACCAGCCCCATGACCTCCACATGGACACTACACTGAACCACTGACAACATTAGCTCCCAACTTCGGCTCCAGGTCATGGGACCTGCACAGGTTGTCCCCCCACACTGGGCCAGTTTCCTCTATAAATGGGCATTCGCAAGGATTCAGCCACAAATGGAATACAAGTAGACAATAACTGAGGTCAGAATGGGAAGGCAGTGATCAGGTAAGGCCTCTCCATGACAGTGCAGCCATTCACACCAAAGGCCAACTTGATGGGGAGTGTCCACTCCCCGCCCTCCTTCTCAAGAGCTACGCCAGGAAAATATCCCCCAGGAGAAACAGAGCCGGCTTCTCTTCTATTGCCAATTCTGCCTGAAGCTGAGTCGTCATGGCAAAGCTGAAAGCCCAGAGCCAGGCTGGGATCCTCAGAGTAGAACTGATGCCAGTTTGTGGGCCTGGCCACCCAACTCCAAGACAGCACAAGAGCTACATGCCAGGGCCAGCAAGGGAGGCTGTGGAGTCTGCACTAAAGAGCCTGTGAAGGGGAGGGGAGACCACAAAGCAGAGGAAGTCCAGGCAAGCCCTGCAATGGCCTTGCCCTCTGCGAAAAGCCCAGAGTCCCTGCAGCAGCCAAGTGCCTTGTCATTCAAACCAGCCGTTGACTTACCAGCCCACCTGGTAATGAGCGTTCTGGGGCACTAGGCAGCAAAGGCTGCAATTTACACATTAGCCAAGAATAATCACTCTCCAGGCAGAAATGACAGGCTGGAAGGCGGGGAGCATTTAGCAGGATCCTCTGATCACCTCAAACATCCCTGGTTAAGCACAGCTTCTGCCTCAGTGCCTGCGAGAGGCAGGGACAACTCTCTAGAGGCCCTGGAGCTGGCAGGCACTATGGAGGATGGGGGAGGGGCAACTTCTCCTGGGGGACAAGGCCCAGTCTCTGACCCCACACCTGTGACACAGGACAGCTCTAAGGTCTCACCCTATCTCAGAGATAGGCCAGTGAAGGACAGGCTCATCTGCGGCCAGATACAGGAAGGAGTAATGTCCCCTCATGACGGTGATGGGCCCCAGACTGCTCTCCCTGATCCAAACCAAATCTACCACTTGGGCATATGCAGGCCCACACCACCCCCAGCAAGGCCAAGTGGATGTGACCACCCACCCACTGGGGCCAAAACCTTGGGCATTTTAACTAAGCTGAGAATCCTTGATTTCAAGATTAATATAGCCACCATACTCAGGTGTCTCTTCCCAACCAAGGCACAAGTTGCTAGCACAGAGCATGCCATCAAAGGGCCCTCTCTTACCACCAACCTCTCCTCTTGTTACTGTGCCTCCTAGCCACCCACTGGCCCAACCTGTACTCCCACCCCCATTGCCACCCCCAGCCACCCAGTGGTCAGCAACCATGGTAACATGGCAGAGACCACTCCTTACTTTCCCATCCAGGTGGCATAGCTGGGAGGAAGCCTGGGCACAAAGAGAGTGGATTTCCCAGTGTCAACATTGATGACGCCATAGCAGCCTGGCTCGAGGACACCAAATGCCCAGTGAAAGAAGGACTCCTGTGGATGGAATAAGGAGCCTGGTTACCCAGTGATCAGGACAGAAACAAGAGGTAAGGGGGGGAGGGGGAGGCGAGCAGCAAACAGGGCCTTCTTTCCAGGAAACAGACCAGTGCCCTCATGCTCTTGGAAACTGACCCCCAACCCCACACAGCCCTCCCACCTCTGCTCTGGCTGCAGGCTTCCCATCTCACCCTGCCATGGCTTGGCAAGGGCAGCCCGGTGGCTCCTCCAAGCCTGCTCCAGGCCTCTCCAATGATGCGTGTTTTGTGTGTGTGCCCCAGCCTTCCTGTGCCCCCAGGCCCCCACCCACATTCCCCAAGAACATAGCAGGGTTGAGACACAGTGCCCAACAGCCCCACAATTCCAGCTCGATTCAGACACCCAGGCCAGACATCTACACCAAAATGGATTCCCTCATTTAGAACAGCTTACTTCCCCCAACCACCCCCCGGGGCAGCTGATGACTTCAGTGTTTAGCAACAAGCACTGAGCTCAAACAACGTCATCAAGGTACGATGTGTAGGAGGAGCTCTTTTGAGATTTACCCAGCCAAACGTCAGTAAGAGAGCCCACAGGTGAATTTAGGAAACTGATCTTTAAACCACGAGAATGTAAACTTTAAGAAGCATCAAGCCTGGTCCAAAAAAAAAAAAAAATTAGGGCCCCATGTTGCTGGCAGCTGGAGATTGTAGTCTTGCAGCTGCAGAAACAATGGGGCAGAGGGAAAGGACCCTTGGGACAGGAGGGGCTTTCCATAAAAAATAAAAAAACAAAAAACAAACAAACAAAAACCTCTCCAATCACCCTTAGCAGAGGATCTCAGCCTGTCTGTGCCCTGCCAGGACAGACATGGTCTACCTGCGGAGGCCAGGCCTTGCTACTTCTCTCCACCTCAGCAACTCCTCACATTCCCTGTCCCACCACTGATGTGGATGCTGGCCCAGGTCCCCTAGGCTTTCTGTCCCCAGGGAGATTCTGGAATTCCCACTGTAGTTGGGCCTGGCAGCAGGGAGAAAAAGAGCACTAGACATGGAGTCCAAAGACAGGGTTCTAATCCCAGCTTCATCTCCTAACAAGTTATTACCCTTCTTGAGCCTCAGTTTCTTCATCTGTAAAGTGGGTATAATGCTAGGACCAACAGGCGTGAGCTCAGCCCAGGGTCTCCTGGCTTCATGAGCAAGGGTCCTTGTTCCTGGGGACTGAATGCTGCCAGCTATTCTCAGCTGAGGCCACCACATCCAGATAGGACAACACGGGGCTCCAGAACCAAAGGAGTTCCCAGACCACTTTCCAGCAGAGGAAACCAGGGAGGCTCAGCACTGGCCAAGCCAGGATGAAAGCCAGGCTCTGACTCCTGCTCAGACAAGCAGCCCAATCACACATCCCCTCTGGGTCCTCCTCAGTGCAGATGGCGTCCAACCGCAGGAACACACCCAGCCCACCCTCTGCTCGCCCACCCCTGTGCACACTAGCCCTCACCTGTCCGAATTCACCTGGCCTTTGGGGCCCACCCCAGTAGCTCCCCCTCCACGAAGCTGGCCTGCTGGCTCCCAGGAACATCACTTTTCTGTACATTGGCCTGAGGGAACTGAGCCTGGCTGGTGACAGCTCTGGACATTGAACCCCTCAGCATGGACTCCCTGCCCCCTCCACTACCCTGCACCTCCCGGGCAGCCCTGGAGACTCACCTGGCGGAAGATGACGCCAGTGTCGGTGCAGTAGCGCTGCGTTTCCTCACCGCCCTGCAGCAGCACAGCCGAGCCGGGCTCCACGGCCACGTTCTTCTTCAAACGCTCACACAGGCGCCGCCGGTTCAGCGCGAAGAGTGCCAGCGGGACCTTCAGGGTCTCATTCCCCAGGGAAAAAGAAGGGCTGCAGAGACATAAGCACATGAGCACACAGGCACATCAGCACCTCCAAGGGTCCCACCGCCCAAGGTCTGAGACTGTGGGGGACCCACCAGCCTCGGCAAGCCAGTCAGAGCTCCACTGCTGTGGCTCGGAGATGGTCACTCGCTGGGCCGCCCGAGGGCCACAGGGCTCATCATCCACCCTGCCCTGCTGTCTCTGAAGGCCTGGCCTACCATGGGCTTGAGGGACAGCTGATCTGCTCAGGGGTGCAAGGGTGAGGCCACGGAGGGACAGCCTGCAGTGCTCAGAGATGTCACGCAACAACGATCACTCTCCAGGATCGTTCCCAGGAGCTCCACGTCTGCTTAGAGCTTCCCGTGATGGTGGCCAGTGTGAAACAAGATCTGACCCAGACAACACTGGCATCTGACCGTGTTCCCAGCCTTCTGTCCCATTCTCCTCAAGCCTTTGACCCACAGCCTGGGTTTGCTGTCCCCACCCCAACAACACTCATACCCCAACCCTCTTAGCGCTCGCTCTCTTTCTCTCTCTCTCTCTCTCTCTCTCTCTCTCTCTCACACACACACACACACACACACACACACACGGCACTCTGAGCTGAGTGTCTGAGGAAAAACCAGGACAAGATGACTCTGTGAGCAGGAGTCACAGGGGTACAGACCCCGCGAACAGCAGAGGGACCAACAAGGACATCACTGAGGAGAGCCCCTCGAGGGGTGGGTAGAGCAGGGCCTGGTAGGGTTGGGAGGTGTCTCTCTTTGGGCTCCTCATGCCCTGCTGGATTCCCCGATCACCAGAAGACACAACTCGTGCCCAGCATCCTCCCTTCAAACCCCCCATCTGCCTCTGGACCCCCGAGGCTTCTCCTCCACCTGCACGGCCCCCCCACCCCTAGCTACTCATGGGCACTCCAGCAGCAGCTTCCCCTCAGCATCAGCCACAGTGGAGCACATTGGAACCCCTTGGGTCCTACAAAGAGAAAGAAAATGACTCCCCTGGTCCCCTGGCGGTCTACTTCGCCCTCCCTTCGCATTTAATATCCTCTAAAGAGTCACCCAGCCCATGTCCCCACCCATGGTCTGACAACCCTTGCTCTCCCAGGTCCACCCCATCAGGTCTCTGTACCCCACACACAGCCCAGGGGACACGATGACCCCCTACTCCTGAATCTGCACTAGTCCCTACTAGTCCCCAGTCCCCGCCAGGCCTCTGTGTCCATGACACTGACTCCATCCTCCCTCCCTCCCTCCCTCCCCAGTGGCCAAATGTCCTGCTGGAGCCCCAGGGCTGGGTTCTGGACCTTTCCCTCACTGGGCTCCTTCCCACAGTGCCTTGGCTTTATGCACCCAGCAACATCCCCCTCCAGATTCACAAAAGCCCTGGCCTTTTGATCCGCATCTCAGACCCCAGTCACCTTAAACTCAGCAGACACAACAGACCCAACCCTGCCTGCTGGTGCCACCAGGAGGGCACCTCTGCCTGACTGTTGCAGAGTCATCCTCATCTCCTCTCTCATCCGCCCCTGGTCAGCAAAGCCACGGGCTCTAGCATCCACACACACCCAGGACCTGACCCCTCACCTGTTGGGGACCACCTCCCACCTGGACCACTGCAAGGAACTCTCAGGTATTCTCTTGGTCCCAGCTCCCTGCCCCTCACCAGCTCCTCGTGGGCTCAGAACAAGGAGCAGGCTACTCCCTGCTGATGAGGAGGTCAAGAAAAGGTTTCCTCCCCTGCAATGTGGGCCTCCTCTACCCTCCCTCAACACCAGGAAGGCGCCGTCCTTTGCTGCTGCTGCTGCTGCTGCTAGGGACTGCTCTCCTGCGGTGCCCACTCTCGTCCACGCTCTGTCCACACCTCTGCAGAAACACCTCCCTCTCCCCAGAGCAGCGTCTCCTCGTCATCCACCCAAACCCCAGCCCCTGCTCCTCCGCCTCTCCAGCATCATAACTAAGGAATTCATTAGCTCGCTGGGTGAGATCCAAGTCCCACGAGAGGGACAAAGGCTACCTGTCCAACAAATTAGGAGGGAAGGAAGGGCAGAGTCAGCAGGCCAGCTGGAAACCAAAGTATGAAGAGACGAGTGACCGGGGTGGAGAGGGGTTAGGCAGAGGTGGGGTACGCGGGAGGGAGCCCCCAAAGACTCTCAGCCAGGAGACAGTGCTCAAGGAAGGCAGGGACAACCCAGAGCTAGCGCAAGCAGAGAGGGTTCTGCCTGGGGAGAAACCTTCCCTCACAGCAACATGGCCTTGAAGAGGCCTCAGGGCACCTCATCTGAGACCCTCGGAGGACCCGGCCCTCCTGCCAGGGACACAAGCAGGTGGTGCCTCTTGTAGATCTTGGCCCCAGAGCCACCTTCTAACGAGGTCTTCTCATGTTTCCCTCTTTGAACCTGCAACACTTGTCCTGCTGACCCCCATGTTGCTCTGGGCAAGTTTCCCTCCAGATCCCCCCCACCCACTCTGCCCAGATGGACTCGGCCCTAACAGTCTGCCTCCTGCCTCTGGCCTCTAGGTGGGCCAAGACAACAGGAGGTATAAGAGATGGGGGATAACAAGGACAGAGAACCTACACCCATGCTCCTCCCTGGCTGGCCATGAAACTAAATGACCTATGGCAGTCCCTCCACACAGGGGCCACAGCTCTGGCCAGGCCACCTGAGCCCTGGTGCAGTCCTCCCAGAATACTAAACAGCTTCTCTCCTCTTCCTTCCAGGTTCCCGTCACCTGCCCACAGCTCTGAGAACTGTCCCTACATTAAACTATCTTCCAACACCCTTAAGCGGGCTCCTGGCTTCAGACTTGATCCTTGGCCTTCTACTCTAAAGCAGTGTGTGCCCTGGCGCTGTCCTCTCTGCCCACTTGCCCCATGAGACACAGATCTAAGCCTGCTCTGGTCACTACTGCATACTGGGCCTAGCACCCTGCGTGACACACAGCAAGCTCTCAGTAAGGATCTGCTGAGTGTACGACTCACAGCTGAAACACCAGGCCACACTCCAAGCTGTGCAGATCAAAGGTGCCACATCAGCACCAGCGGGGCAGGAAGCAAACCCTTGGGTTCCCTTCTGGTCAGGAAGGGTGTAAGGGTCAGGATCAACCCACACACACCAACAGGGCTAGACCCTCCCTGGGCACATGCCCGTCCTTCCTCCCAGGATAAGCAGATGGTGGGTGGACCCAAGTGACCAGGGCTTCCTCTATGCCAGGGTGCTTCTCTGTCATGCTCAGCCCAAGGGAACTTGGTGACAGCTTGTAAACATGGCTGTCCCAGCTGGCCCTGCTATCAGGAAGTGAAAGTGTATCTGTCACATCCATGCACAGGGGTCCCCCACAGCCTCCTACACCCTTTCCTTCATCGGGCAAAGGCCACGGTGCAGGGTGGGCACAGGGGAGAAACTCATCTCTACAGACTCCCTGTCAGCACAGAGGCAATGACGATGGGACCCTGCTACAGATGGCCTCAGCCAGCATCACCCAACAGCACCACTGGCTGAACATGTCCAACAGGGGCCACCTCTTCTCCCACGGCTCCACCTCCCTCTGACCAGTCTCCACCTTAAGCATGTGGGGTGCTGCCTCCACCTGGCCTGTGACCACACTCCACCTGGGGGGTGCTCAGAAGGGCTGGGCCTCTTGTCAGATCCTTTGGAGAGGCCGAAATCCCTTGGGGCACCCACACTGGGGTTTATTGGCCGTTATATTTAAGGGATTTGAGCACCAGCAGATATTGGTATTTGAGGGGGGTCGTCCAGGAACCAATCCCCCTAGGACACTCAGGGACGACTGCACTTATGACTTCCACAGGGCTCAGACTGAATGAGCTCAACCTGGCCAGGGCTCTGGGCCTGAGGGCAGCTCAGCCTGAACTACAGGGCAATGTTCCACAGTCACTAATTACTGCAGGACACCCCGGAATCAAGGCTTAGAGAGACATGCCCTTTGATTTCTCACAGCATAAACCAAACCCCCAGAGAGACGGTCAGGCCCACAGCCAAGGCAGGTGTCTTCTGCCTGCAAATTCAGCAAAAGCAGCACTAATAAAATATCTCCAACTGGTTTCTGCTGGAGCTTTTATTAACTGGCTCTTGGAATTTAAAAGGCACAAGCCATGTCATCCCCGAGACCCAGGACAAATAAGGCCCACTTCACTGCAAACAGTCAAGGACACAGGGATGCCCCAGAGGAGCAGCTGGGGCAAGAACAAGCAGACAAGCCTCTGGCCCTACAGGACAGCCCCCCAACCCCACCAGACAGCCACCAAGGGCCAGCAAGCAACCCAGGGCCAAAAGCAGAGCAACCGGCAATGGGTCAACCCCCAAGGAGGGTGATGTCATTGCCCCTATAACTGTCCCTGTCCTATAAAATCTGTGTCCCCATATCAGTGCCACCCTCTCCTTTACCCTCAAAGACCACCTGTGAGGTTCTGACCTAAGGACTGTGGACCCCTGGGGAGTCACACATAGGATTTAGAGGCTTCATCCTCTTTTTGGGAAAAAGTCAGACCTTTATTCTTTAATTTCTAATACAAATTTACATTTTTTTCCAACTAATGATGTAAGCAACTAATCACTCAGAATCAGCAATGCATGTGAATTTATCACCCACAGAAATCACAGGCACTTTCAATTCACAGTATTGCTGTCAAAATCAAAGTAGTTATCAGACCTGCTGTTAGCTTTTATTAGTGAATGTGTTAATAAAGAAACATATGATCAATCGCAAATTTAACATTTTGATAAGTGTATTTTCATATAATGGATATTCCTTGTAATCCTCCGTAATTATTTCATGAATTAAAAAATATTAGGCCAAGAAGGGTACTGCCATGGTTTGTCCCCAAAGGTTCATGTGATAAGAGACCTGGTCGCCCACGTAATAGGGAGTGGAACCTTTAAGAGGTGGGGCTGACTGGGAGGTGCTTAATTCACTGTGGGGTACCACCCTCAGAGGAGGCTGATACCTGTCTCCCCAGAATGGGTCAGGCCTGGCAGGACTGGAATAGTTACTGTGGCAGTAGATGATTATAAAATGAGTTCAGCTTTCTCAGCTGGTTCTTTTGCTACAAGACCCCTCTCTTCCCCACAAACAGCTTCCTATTCTCTCATGTGCTCCTGCTGTGTGATGCTATCTGCCTCTGCAGCATGAGGCCCTCAAGAGATGCAGTCAGCTGATCTAGCCTCCAGAACTATGAACCAAAATAAATCTCTTCACTTTAAAAAGTACCACATCTTGGGTATTTTATTATAGCAACACAAAATAGACTGGCAGGAGCACAGGTTTCACCAATGCCCGTGGGGTCCACAGCACAAACCAGGGTAAGACTCCTGCACTACAGTGTGAAGTCACTTCTCAACAGGGCCACACTGTTAAGCTCCCGGTAAGAAGCCAGCCAACAACTAGCCAGCTTCTCAACTCTCAGCCTCCGGCATAGGGCCAGGCATCGAGTAGAGACTTGGGAAGCCTCCTAACCATCATCAAGGCCGGCGGTCACCTGGCTGGAGAGGGCCTCAAAGCAGCTGGTGAGCATTCCCACTCCACTTCCTCCACTCCAAGGAGGATGAGGGGGTCAAGCACACACAGGGACCAACAGAGGGCCTATGTGGAAATAGAACCAAGTCTAGGAAAAGTCGGGGAGAGCAAAGGGGCACTCAAGGGCAAACCTGGCTGCCACAGACCTACCATCTGCAGCTCCCAGTGCTCGCCCAAGGCCTTGACTCCGGAGCAAGGTGGGACAGAGGGGCAGGCTTTTGACCAAGAACATCTCCAGATACTCTCCAGAAGAATGCTGACTTCAGTGTGGCCTGTGGCCCAACAGGGCCACACCCAGGGCACTCACCTGCTGCTTCCCTTGACTCTGCAACAGTTCCTGGGTGTCTCTCAGTTAAAGAATGAGAGCTAGATCCATCCCACTCCTTGGAATTTGGTCCCCCTTCCACCCACAACTTCTTTCCTCAGTTGCCAAGTGTCTCTCAAGACAGTAGGACAGGATGCTGGACTAATTTAGAGTAAATGCCCCTTTCATGTGTGTGGCACATTTCACCAAGCACCAGTCACAGAGCGTCCACAGATGGCCCTGGGGATATAAGCTGAATGGGTTCCGGGGCTCCTAGAATGCCAGGAGAGGCAGGAAAGGAAGCCACCCCCCACCCAGTCATGACGGGCGGGTGAGGAAACAGGTCCTGCCAGTCGGGAAAACTTGGATCCTCTGGAGCTCTGAGTAGGAAGCCTGAGTTCTGAGTAGGAGGCCAGGAAATGTCTCTGGGAGGAGGAACCATCTGAGCTGGGCCTGCAAGTGTGTGAATAATCTTGTAATCATGTCAGAGGACAGGGGTGGTCCAGGACCAGAAGGGGAGGGGGCCAAGAAGTGAGAATGGAAAAAGCCACGTGAGGGAGCAGATGCAGACAGGTCTGGCTGGAGCTGAAAGGTCCCAACTCTGTCCACAGAAAGCTCAAAGCCCGGCTCAAGAAGGCAGGGTTGCCTCTCACCAAGTGCCACTGGATGGGGGCCCTCTTCGTGGAGGAATTAATGGTGAGTGCAGCTGACCCTCAGGAGGCTGTGAGACCCTCTGTCTTAAAACAGAAGCCTCTGCCCAGGCAGGCCAGAGTAGTACCTACCCTGAAACACTTCCCAGAGGAGCCTCTTAAATTACTAAGTGAGCCTGAGATGCTACGCAGGGCTTCCACTGTTCCCCAATTCATGTGTGGCACACCTCAGTCACATGGGACTCTCAGGGAGCTCCCCAGTCCCAGGCTCTGGTAGGACTCTATGAGCAACCAAATCTAACTCCCTGGCCATGACTTAATGGCTCATTATGCATGATACTCTGATCTGTCCCGTGAATACTGCAGCTGGGAGTGGGGTTTTGCTGGGGACATACTCAAATCTCTTGGGGAAGCAAGTGGGCTTAACCTCAGGCTCAAAGTCACTAAGAGAAGCCCTGTACAGCTTGGGATGGCCCTTCCCAAGGAGGCCCTGCCTAGCCTCTGGAAGCTCCCCTACCTGTCAGGTTTCCCTTCTAACAGTGACCCTTTCCAAAACTTCTCTCAATTCTGCTTTAACCTCCTCATCCATCTTGTGTGATGACCCAGAGAATCAGTTCTGCTACAAAAGCCCTTCCTTCCAGTATTCAGTCAGTTCCAATCACCAGTTTGGCTCCTCTATACCTTCAGAAGAGGAGCAGGCCTTAGACCAGCCTGGAGCCCTTACCAAAATGCAGCCCCTGGCACTCCCTGTAGCCACCTGACCAGCCCAAACAGAGAGATAACCAACCCACAGCAGATGCCAGACTACACCTACTGCTCACTTTGTTCCTTAAGACAGAGTCACAGGCTGGGTTCAAAGCTCTGATCCTGAACTCCTTCACACCAAATTGGGACTTTGGTCTGCAAAGTTCTCTACGGGAAGTGTCTCATTGCTTAACTCCTAACACAAAGATCATCCAGGGAATGAAGCCTTCCCATATTCTCCCCTGACCTTAGAGTCCATGTCCCTCCAAAGCACACTCCAAGACCTGAGGCAGAGAGATGACAGAGCCCTGTATGTCCATCTACCCCAGTGGCCTGTGAGTACCCAAGTGTCGGCCCAAGTGCTGTACTTGGAACACAGCAGGTGCCCACTAAATGTCTGATTTGTACATTCAAAGTTTTCCCAACCTTGAGGGTCAACTGAGAACCTACTGTGCTGTCGTTCTCCCCACCTCCCCCAAAATGCATTCTGTCCACTAGCTTCCCCATTCTGATCTCAGTTCCCACCCTGGTATCTGAGATGCTGCTCCCTTCTACCCCTACCCTTCCTAGTGCCCTGGGCCACCAGACCCACAACCCCTTCTACTGAAATCACAGCCACCAGGGGAGCAAGCTCCTTAAAAAGTAGATCCCAGTAGATTAAAACCTCTCCCACCCCTCAGGACAAAGTCTGGAGAGGCCAGCTGGGCCACCACACCCTCTAGCCCAGGGATGCACCCCTCCTCCCTGTCCCCAGGACACTCCTCAACTCTCAGTCTTTATCTCTTAACCTTTGCTCAAATATTCCCTCATCTGGAACAATCTCCCCAACCCTTTGGTGACAATGCTCCCCGCTAGGACAACTAATTCTTCTTTCATTCTGAAGAATTATGGATCTCCTACTGTGTGCACGGGGCTGGGCCAGTGAGACCCCCTGTGAACCGTGAACCATTGATGAACTCCACATTTTATCAGGCCACAGGCCTACGAAAGTATGACAGGTAGTTAGGGAAGAGGAGCTGACATCTGGGCCCCGAAAGAAGGGGGAAGCGCCCCTCTGGCAAAGGGGGTTCCACGCCCACCTCAAACACTAGCCCCTTCGGGAAGCGCCTGGGGACCGGCAGCCAGGGCCAGGCCACCTTCCCCTCTGAGGGGCGTGGCAATGGACACTCGCGTCAACCTGGGCGCCCACCTTGGCCGCACACAGTGAGGCCGCCACAGGCGTGCGGCTGAGGCCTGGAGCCAGGGGAGCCCCAGCGTAAGGTGAGCAGCGGGAGGGTGCAGGGGGCTGCGGGCACCAACGCGGCCGCTGGGTCGGCGGGAAGAAGCGCACAGCCCGCTGCCACACGAGGAGCCCGGCCGAGCCCGGAGGCTCTCACCCCCTGTCCAGCGGGGAACACCGAGGTCCCCTCTCCGTGGCCGGCAGGAGCGAGGGAGAGGAGCCTCACTCACCTCGCAGCAGACGCCATGTTCACTCGGCGCACGCGTCACGTGAAGTACGGCGTCAGCTGAACCCGGCCTGGTCCCACTGTAGAGGGCGGGACGGGGGCGTGTCCCCGGGAGGGGCGTGTCCTGGGCGCCTCTGCCCCGCCCCCTCCAGAGTAGGGGCTCCGCTGGACGCAGAGGCTGAGCGCTGGACCATGGAGAGCATTGAAGCGCCAACCTCCGGCTGCAGGCGAGGTACGAGGCTGGACCGAGCATATTCCCACCCCTTTCTAGGATGGGAGGAAGTGACCCGAGACTGTACACACCTTGATTCTGCTTCAGCCCGGGACCGGGCTTCCCAGCACTCCCGCGGGAAGAACTCATCTGAATAAAGAAACCTTGGGAGGACGTCAAGAATGGTAGTGCACACCTGTAATCTCAGTGACCACTCCGGAGGCTGAGGGAGGAGGATAGCAAGTTCGAGGCCAGCCTCGGCAACTTAGAGAGACCATATCTCAAAATGAAATTTATAAAGGGCAGGGGTTTTAACTCAGTGGTTGAGCGCCCCTGGTTTCAAGCCTCTGTTTGGGGACAGAGGGTGGTGGGAAAGAGGGGAATAAGGGAGTCTCTGAACCAGGTTAGAGAAAGGAAAGAACTTGAAAAAAGCTGGGGCAATTGGAGGAACGGAAACCGTGAGGAAAGGGGGTGTAGGAGAGAGGTACAGCCTGAGGTAAGCAAGGGCCAGATCCTGTAGGGCCTTGAGTATGGGGCTTGGGAGTTAGGTCTGGTAGGATCTTTTTTCCAAGCCTCCTCAATTCCATAATAGAGAAGAACCTGGAGGAGGGAAGGAATAGAGAGGAGTGGCCCAGTGGAGAGGGGTGCAGGATGGCTTGCTTCTCTGCCCAGCTGGGCTCTGGTGTTGGTGCAGAGTCCTACAGAGAAGGAGGAGTTGCGCATGGTGGTGCATGCCTGTAATCCCAGCAATTGGGGAGGCTGAGGCTGGAGGATCACAAGTTCCAAGCCAGTCTCAGCAACTTAGGCCCTGAGCAACTTGGTGAGAACTTGTCTCAAAATTTAAAAAATAAAAAGGGCTGGGGATGTGGCTCAGTGGTAAGCGCTCCTGGGTTCAATCCCCAGTACCAAAAAGGAAAAAAAAAAAGTGGGGGAAGATGTAACACTCAGAAAGCAGGTGCTGCCCTCCCTACTGCCTACTGCCAACAGGTATGGAGCACTTCTAGGCAGGCACTGACCCAAATGCTTTGCCAACATCAGCTCTCAGAAATTCCTCAAAAGCCCTGTGAGATAAGGATTATCCTTAATGCCATTTTACAGATGAGGGAACTGAGGCCCAAAGAGATAAGTAACAAGCCTGAACTCACACAGGTCAGAGAGTCCTGGAGAAATTGTACCCTGTCCCATTATGTAGTAGCCCCACCTTCAGCTGAAGAGACTCAATTCCCTGATAAAGGACAAACTTTGAAAAATAACAAAAGATGAGCAGAAAGCTATTTGTGCCACTTTGTCAAAGGAACAACTGCTCCCAACTAATGCAATCCCACCACCACTTCTTTTGACATAAACTGTCAAAAGTAAGCCGACTGCCAGCTCCTAATGCTTACTAATGTGAAAAAGAAGTAATTATCCTAAATAGTTACAAATAATAGGGAGAGGGCATGAGACAACTGAATGGAGCACCCTTGTCAGTGGGCAGTGGAGGGAGGTCCTCCCCACCCAGCCCATCTGAATGGTAGGCCTCTAGGCAGGGCGGGTCCTGCCAGGGGTTACATCAGTCTGGACTCCAGCAGGGCTGGCCCCCATCCTTCACCCCTCCCCATCAGAGGTCCAGCAGGGCTGCCCCCCTCCCTTGCTTCTGTCCATCAGAGGCTCTGGCTGGGCTTCCAGGAGAAACCGCTCAGGGTGTGGGAGAAGATTGCGTAGTTACTCATGCAGGGCAGACCCAGGATGCTGCTGGGCTGCTGGGAGCCAGGAGGCAATTGGGGAAAGATTGATTTTATAGAGTCGGAGTGGGAGTGTGTAAATCAGCCCAGGGAGAGAGCAGGCAGCATGCTCACACCTCACACAGCCTCCGAGGTCACAGGCCTCAGGGAAACAGTCTTTCCCCACCATGGTCTACAGGTGGCTGGGAGGTGAATGTGCTCCCCCAGCCCAGTACCCGGAGCATCGTTAGTCTTCACAAGTGCTCCCGCCCAAGCAGACACCTGCAGAAGACGTTCCATCCTGGAGAGTCTCCTTCTTTGTCCCTGTGACACTAGGTCCAACCAGGTGCCTTGCCCACCCATTTCCCAGTAGCCACTGTTCCTTTGGAGCTCCGTGCACACTGCTGATAGCTGGCCATCTGGAGATGGCCGGCCAGCCAGACTCTGTCTTGTGAGCCACCCTTGTGGTCACGCAGAGGTGTCCCCCAAGAGCCATGACATGAGCCCTGTTCCTCTGCTACTGCATATCAAGGGCACCGGTCTGCTGGAAGTTCTGTGGGACCACAGGTGGCCCGGATGCTGATTCTGACCCTGGGTGGTGCCACCCACGGTCCAACAATGCGACAAAGGATAGGGGGGCCAGACCCTGCCCTGGAGGATCTTCAGTCTGGGGGAAGAGGAGGAAGAGGAGCCCTCCAGATGGTCCCCAAGAAGCCTACCATCTGGAGGAGGGGGCAAGGTTTTGTGTTGCTACTTAGCTTGTGGGCAGTGACTGAGGGATTCAGCGCAGGAAAGACGTGGAGTCCAAGTTCATCTCTCAGGCAGGAGTTGAGAAGGGTTGAGGGGAGCCTGGAGAGAGCCAGCAAGATGCCCCCCACCCATGGCTATCTCACTGTAGTTGTATGAACAGGTCCCACCATCCACGTTTGCAATGTCAGCAACTCCGGCAGCCACAGCCCTCCAAGTTCCGAGGCCAGCATGGCCTGCTGCCTCCTCCAAGGCCACCCAGGCTCCTTCAGAGTCACCACCAGCCCCTCAGAGGAGCCCCACGTCACGTCCTTACTCCTGCTGTCCCTCCCTGAGCCCAGCCCATCTGGGCATCCATCTTCCTGCAGAAAAGAGTTGGGCAGCAGCCGAGGGACCTTCCCTAGGAAGCCCCCATCACTTCCTCAGATGAAGTGGTCCCCGCTGTGTGCTTTGCCAGGGTCTACGAGGCAATTCAAGATGAGAAATGGAACAGGGACTTCGCAGAGACCAATCATTCCAGCAGCACCTTCAAAACAGCGAAGGAAACAAGCTCTTTTTGTGTGTGTGAAAATGGGGGATATATTGTTTTTCACTGTTTGGAAGACTGTTTTCTCATCTTGAAATCACAAGCTGTTTTCTTCCAGCGAGACTTACAAATACATCCAATTATCGACATTCAATCTAGGAAATAAAGTTCTGAAATTGTTTTCTTCCACACACATGGAGTGGGCCGGCCAGGTTGTACAGGTGATAATTACTTTTATATCTTACAAGCCATGCCGGCACAGAGTGGCTGGCAGATCCACCTTTTATTGCTTCCACGTTTATTACGTCGCCTGTCTGTGTTGGGCTAGCCATTGGTGTAACTGTCCTACCCCAATTCAAGATCTCGATCAAATGAGTGAAACCCCTAAATTCAAAAGGATGAGTGCTAAGTTCCAGAGCAGGGGGGATTCGGTTCTGTAGCCCATGTCCTGCAGAGAAACTCCGTGGAGGGAACAGATTGCCTCTGCCCAGCTCCGAGTCATTGAACGTCACTGATGGGACCATGGGTCCCCCCTGGCATTTAAAACTGTCCCTCTCAGAGACTCCTACCAAGGTGGTACAGTACAATCATACCCTGTCCATACCCTGGATATCCATCCTGTCCCTTTTGGCTCCTTCTGGGGGCGGGGGCGGGGGTGGGGAGTCCCTGGCATCTCACCAAGTTTCATTTTCCAAACAAGAAGGGGGTTAAGATGCTGGGAAATCTTAATAAAGCCCGATATAGTGATGGATCAGTTTGGAGTTACCGGCACCCCCTTCCTAAATGAGACGTTTGCTTCCATAAACTCATCCTGAATATTGCCATCAGAAAGTCTAGCTATTTTTATTCCAGCCTAGGTGTGAATTTCTGAGTTTCATGGTTTTGCATGATTTTGATGATCTGTTTACATAGGGAAAACGTTAATTTTCATTTCTTTGGCTTTTAAGCTCTTATCTAACTCTGCCTATGTGTCATTGCCAAATGAATATCCCCAAACATGAATGCCATGTCCAAAAGTTTGTGGTGAGAAAGAACTGCATGCTAGTCTAGAGTCCAGACAGGGGGACATCTCTGGTCCTTAGTTTCTTGGTTTAGTGGTGGAAACAACTGGCCTTTGCTTCCCATATAGGGCAGTTCCAAGGGTCAGATGGGGCTTCAAACACCATGGCCTTTGGGGAACAGTTTAAGATGACACAAATGTGGAACTTATAAGTTTCATTATTAGGACACTTATTGTTATTTGAGAACATGAACACAATGACAAGGAATGTGGATATAGGAACCTAGATCTGATTCCTAGCTTTGCTATCTACTTACTGTGTGGCTTTGAGAAAATTACCCAACTTCTCTGAGCCTCCATTTCCTCATGGATAAAAGGAAAATGATAGATCCCAGCCCAGAAGATTGTTGAGGGGATTATATAGGGTGATTCCAGGAGACACTTAGCTCGGCCCCTGGCTTTATTTCCATGATCATATGAAAAGTGGGGGCAGTGGGGAGGGACTAGCATCTCATCCCCGAGGTGTGAAGATGAGTGAGTCACTCTGTGAGGTCACTCTAGCCCTGTCCACCTACAGAACAACCTTGACCCAAAAGGGTGATCCATAATCCCACACCAAGGTAGCCAGTGTGTAGCTTCTTCAAGAGGATTGGCTGGGCCCTGGGACTGCCATACCACCTCTGTTACTTGGAGTGGCAGCCCAGTCAACACAGAGATGCTAACAGGATGAAGGGACACAAGAGCAAAAGGTGGGAGGAGGCTGCAGAGACAGTTTCCTGTTGTACTCTGCCTCTGACCCAGCCTGAGTCTTCAGCCCACAGGGCTCTGCTTACAGGCAGGAAATTTGTTTGTTGGTTGGTACCTGGGATTGAACTCAGGGGCACTCGACCACTGAGCCACA